TATTATTCCATTCAGGTCCCTTAGTACAAGAATCTAACATGACCAAATACAAGGTCCAAAATTCAAAATACATTTCTCGTACTAATCAATCAAAACTGTACATCAAAACAGATCTTCATGCAGAAATGCATATAGGAAAATATTAAATATTCCCCTTTCCCTTACCATCCGTACCTCCTGCAACACATAGTTAAAATCACAAAACGAGGGTTAGACCGAAAGGTCTAGTAAGATACCCTATTTATGTTATTGCAGGGTGAAAATCACCAAAATCTTTATGGAAAACAACATTTCATATATATAACAAATATATGAATGAATAAGAACATAATACCAGATCTTTTCCACATTTCAGACAAAGCTTTTAGCTATATAAATCCCATACCTCCGAACCAATTAGGTTTCTCATAATGCCACTTTTAAACCTTTTTCAAATCAAAACAAGGTTTAAATAAAGCTTCAGGCCAAACCTGATGTTTTCTCATCAATAACATCCAGACTATGATTTTCAATAAGAACCTTGATCCTAAATCTTTAAATCACAAAGAAATAAAGATTCCAGACCACGGTAGTCTTAAGGGATATAATAGAAAGAGTTATATCATACAATCACACATACAAATGCCACCCTTATATCCAAATGTACACCTCTCCTTGATATGCCACCCTTATCCATGGTACACCTCTCCTTGATATGCCACCCTTATCCCATGGTACACCTCTCCTTGATATGCCACCCTTATTTCCCCATCAAAACTTTTCATAAAACAATTCCAAATACACCGCAGCCATTGAAATTATTATCAATACAAAAATCATTTCTTTCAAAACTTCCTTTTTATGATAAAAAATAACATTTCTTATCAAAAACACAAGACATCACTTCCAATCCGGTCAACTTGATTTAGCCGGACTTCAACTCCGGTCAGCAATCCGGATAACACATCGCATAAGTTTTGTCCGGTTAACACTTAGAATAAAAATCAACATCTTTGTCCGGATAACAAGTCCGGACAATACCCCGCTCACAACTTAACCGATTTAAAACAATCTGGCCACCAAATGGTAGTATTCCTACTTCTCAGTTTAAAAAGATAACTATTCTTACCAATCATAACCCGATTGATATTTGATCGGTTTAAAACAATTCGGACAATATATCATTTAACCCTTGTCCGATTTAAGATAGTCCGGACAATACTTCGTCCAACCTTTGTCCGATTTAAAACAATCCGAACAAGCCTTGTCCGGTTTAATACCCAGATAAAACACTTGAGCAAAAGACTGATTTCTTTCCAAAAATAAACAAGATTCATATAAAACCAGTAATAATTTTATGCAAAAGAGTTTAGAAATTACTCACCTTAACAGGCTTTTGAAACCAAATACTTGAAATCAACTTGAATCTCCAGACAAAAATAATCCGGTCAATCTCTCTTCTCTTTTTAAATCGCACAACTTTTAGCCAAAGCAAAAAGAGAAAATATGGAGGCTCAACCTCCCTTTTATACTTTCCAAATCAGGAAAGGCGGTTAACACAGCCGTCTCTTATGCATGCATTCACACTACCATTCATATATATATATATATATATATATATATATACTCATGCACATATGCACCTGCATGCATGCATATCTCACATATATAAACATAATATCATTTATGCATCTAAATTATGCATATTTTCACATACCAGCATGATCAAACATAACAATTTGTCATGCTATCACATAATCATTTAATCAAATAATCACATATTAATTACCTTAGGTGATAACCAGGATCCGGTTATCACAAAAGAATTGTTCACAAGTGTTCATATTGTGTTCATATGTACACTAGTTGCATATCTCAACATTGGTTTGCTCCTGAATGTGTTTGTAATGAATGAACTATTGTTCACAAACTGTTCATATTGTGTTCATACTTGATTTTTTATTTATTTACTTTCGTGTAGCAACTATTTTTATTATATTCATATTGTATTCATAAATGCTATACAGTCCAAGTTCATATATATGTCAATTTTTTTTCGTATTTGACACAATGGTTCGTATATATATATATATATATATACATATATATATATGTGTGTGTGTGTGTGTTTAGGTAATTTTATTTTTTTATGTAACTTCCATATCATTAATTGGGAGTTACAAAATCAAAAATCCTCGTTATTTTTGTTAATTTATTTTTATTAATGTAATAACCATATGAACACATCTATATATATGAACCATTGTGTTAAATACAAACAAAAATTGACATATATATGAACGTGGACTACATATCATTTATGAACATAATAAGAATAGTTGTTACACCAAAGGAAATAAAAAAACATGTATGAACACAATATGAACAACTTGTGAACAATAGTTTCTTTATTATGAACACATTCAGAAGCGAGACAATGTTGAGATATGCAGCTACTGTACATATGAACACAATATGAACAGCTTGTGAATAATAGTTACTTCATTATGAACACATTCAAGTGCGAGCCAATGTTGAGATATGCAGCTAGTATACATATGAACACTTGTGAACTTCATTCATTATGAACAATAGGTTTATCCATAATAGCTTGAACGATACCGAAAACTTTACTACCGGTCTCTTCTACCAATCACAAATTCAAAAACATTATAGATAAAAAAAATCAATATTATAAAAAGAACAAGATCAATAACAAATTAATAAAAATTATAAATTCAATATTAGATGCCTTGATTCATGTCCCTACTAGAACATATATGAACACACCTGAACGTATATGACACTAGTTGCAGTCTATGGCAGGTTAAGTATCACAAGCAGCTGATGGAGCCGAATGGTTATTAGAAATGGATTGCATAGCAAATTAAGTTGACGATGAACTCATTTCATTTGAACATATGAATTGGGCTAGTAGTAATAATTAAAGAAAAAGCTACCAACACAATATAAACTATAAAAAACACAAAAACGTCATAATCAACATAATTTCGATTAAAATGAATACAATAACATATTAATCCATTACCAATACAAACGTTTTGATTATTGTCTTTATTTCCGGAACTCGAAGTCCGATTGTCATCGTAAGTCATTTTAACCTTCTCATTGTTGAGTTGTTTTCCAATGAGTTTATCCATATTAGCTTGAACGATATCGAAAGTTTTACTATCGGGTCTCCTTTAATAATTACAAATTCAAGAACATTATAGATAGATAAATCAATATTATAGAAAAACAAGATCAATAGTAAATCAAAAATAGTTACGAGATTTTTTGATTTTGTAACTCCCAATTAATGATATGGGAGTTATATAGAAACTAAAATTACATATTTACCCTTGTCATTAAATTATGAGGTGGATATGAACCTAGATAAAAGATGGATTTTCATTGGTTGAGCTTGGTTAACAAAGTTAACACAATAATCCTGGTTAACATTTAAACCAAACATTCTCTCTCTCTCTCTCTCTCTCTATCTATATATATATATATATATATATATATATAGGACTATTCAAGAGATAACTCAGTAATTTGTGATAACCGTGTGATCCAATCTCAACTACAATCAAAAGTTGAATCAGAAAATTAATAGTTTTGGTAATTTAACTTAAAATATTAATTAAGGGCATTTTAGAGATTTTAAAAATCTCCTCTCTACGACGAACCTTATTCCGGAAAATCTTGTTCCTGCGAACCTTACGCAAATATAATATACCCATTGTGATACCTAAAAAAACATTGTTAAAAAAGAAACATACAAACGATATTCACTGTGATACATATATATACATAAAAGATGCACACTGTGATACCTTTGTAAAACAACTACACAAAAATATACATATATAGTTATACCCTTTGTAAAATAATGAAAATACATACTAAAATACACTTTAAAACAATCAAAATACACTCTGAACATTATCAAAGTGATACTCTTTGATCTACAAACATTTTTAAAAAATAATATATATTAGATAGTTAACATTAATTAAATATTTCCTTTAAAAAAATTAGTTAAATCTTTTGATAAGTTGTTATAAATAAAATTACTAAATTACCATTTTACCTTAATTATTTTAAATGAATGGTTCATATTAAATCTTACGGTTATCACAAACTAGACAATTCTTATTTAATTAAGCCCCTATATATATTGTAACAAAATTCGCATTAATACATATAATTTTATGCATAATAATAATATAAAATTACATATAAATTCAATCGTTTTCAAATTCTCGCATTTTGATTAAGGGTGCTCAAAAACCGGACAACCCGATCAACCCAACCCAACCCAACCCAACGTGAAATAACCCAACCCGATGTCTAATCGAGTTGTAAAAATGTCAAATCGTAAGTATTGGGTTGATATTGTGTTACTATTATTTGAACCCAACTCAACTCGATGAACCCGATATCCTTTTATTTTTTGGATTTAATATGATTGTTAAATTTCTATTAATATATACATTAGATAATTATACTATCATGTATGCTTTTCATATACACATATTTTCAATCTATTCATATCTCTATATAACTCATTCAGTAACTGTTGACATATATATGTAAATTGATAAAATTAATTGAATGTGGTATACGTAAGAAATATGAATAAGTTGTATCAAATGGTTGATGATGAAAACGAAATTATGAATAGAGAAATAACATATTCAATGTTAGAAGAATATTTTAATATACCAAAGTATCAACCCGACCAACCCGTACGAGTTGAGTTGTGTTGCACTTTGGTTTGGGTTGAGTTGAATTAAGATTTTTCCAAAGCACAAACATTAAGTTGGATTGTTCAAATGTCCTCAACCCGATCAAACCAACCCATAAACACCCCTAATTTTGATACATTTCTCGTATAAATGTTGGTGTATTGGGATGTTTGTGCCATTAACATAAACGAGAGGGTATGAGTGAAGTTTCCCCATTCTGGGGAGATGAACCGAGAGCGCAAATGGGAACCAACCAATCTCATTAACCCATTTCGCCTCCATKATTCCTTTGAACAAAACCAAAATATACAAGTTTCTTAGTAATCTAAACATAGTTTCCAATCCATCCTAACAAACAAATTCAATTTTCATCCCAAATTCTAGAACTAGAACTACAACAATGGCTTCCTTGAAACTTCCATCCCTACTTCCACTACCCCTTTACACCCTTTGCTCCATTCCTTCCTCTAAATCCGTCCACAATCTCTCCATTCCGTACCCCCATCACCATAACCATTACTTGCGCCAAAGGACTCGTAGTAGAAGCAGTCTGGTTGTTGTTGTTGGTGCTAACAAAAAAGATATCGAGATTGAATTGGAATCAAATACCAATTCTGCTTCTGCAATCGCAACCACAGTTGATGATGACGGTGATGATTTTGAAGAAGACCCAGATCCGCAAGACCTCGAATATGTGTCCCAAATCAAAAGAGTTAGGTTTCGTGACTCAAAATTCTCCAAACCCATGTTTTGTTTCTGTAAATTTTGTGTGCTTTGCTTCTTATGTAATGCTTGGATGTTTAGGTTTTGGAGCTTCTGAAGAAAAATAGAGACATGCTCTTTAGTGAGGTAACCTCTGTTTAATAGCTCTTGGTTTTGTCTATGATTTTGAGTTGTTGAAAATGATAACAGTTTCTATGATTTTCAGTACTCGTAAATCCCAACTTTTCTACGCAATTTTACCCAACTTTTCCTCAAAAATTCTTGAATTGCGTGATTGCAATCAGCAGCTGCGGACATTTTAGCCGAATTTCAATGTTTTTCGACAGAATTTTTAAGTTTTTTGTTGATTTTGTGGGGTATTTTAAGATTTTTTTTTATTTCAATGGATTTTTTTCGTTTTTTTTGGTTGTTTTCATGACTTTTTTGGTTGATTTCGAGGCACTTTTTCGTTTGTTCTTATTGATGTTCATTGTATTTTCTAATATCGCAGAGCACAACTTAAAGTTTAGCGGTGCAACTTTCATGCCTAACAAAAAATTACGTGCCATATTCAGTTGAGCGGGTGCATGGGACCTGTTTGGACATGAATGGTTCCACCCATGGCAATCAGGATTCATATGCCCAATGTTAGATTACATGGCATACCATTTGATTTTATGATGTGAATTCAAAAGTGTCTTGAATTGCATAGTGTCAATCTGGATTTTCATATGGGGCAATGGTAGAGCACATGACTTACCATTTGATTTTATGATGGGAATTCATAGGTTAAGTTGACGGTGATGATCGAGGACCCGAGAGAAGTTGAGCGAAAGAGACTTCTTGGGATTGACGATGCTGATGCTCCGACAAGAGATGACTTGGCTGCTGTTCTTGAAGAAGTGAGTTCCTTCTCTTTCTATCGAAGTCACAAGAACCACTCTACACTTGGAAAAGTGATATAGGTTCTATTAATCTTTCAAGGAAAAGAATTGAAAACTACATTCTATAGACGTTACAAGTTCTAAGGGGTTGTTTGGTTCATTGAATTCGAAGGATTTCAAGGGAATTGGAATGATCAATTCCTTTGACTAAATTGTGATTCCTTTGTTTGGTTCACATATTGAAAATAGGAATCCTTTGAATTCCTTTAGATTAAAGACTTCAATCCTTTGCATCCAATTTAACACCACTCACACCTGACCATTCATCATCATGTCACTACTATTGTCGTCACAGTGCCCCCCCACCCCCACCTAGGGATGGGAATGGACCCCGACCCGTCGGGTAACCCGGTCCACCCGCCCCGGTCGGGGACGGGGATTCCCCGAAAAATCGGGTCTCGGGGACGGGGACGGGGATCCCCGCTTGGTGCAAGCCGGGGACGGGGACGGG